TAATTCACTTTAACTATTATTTAAAATTTTTATTTTTGTTTAATTAAAAAAACCAGCTCTTTAATTCACTTTAACTATTATTTAAAATTTTTATTTTTGTTTAATTAAAAAAACCAGCTCTTTAATTCACTTTAACTATTATTTAAAATATTTATTTTTGTTTAATTATAAAAACCAGCTCTTTAATTCACTTTAACTATTATTTAAAATTTTTATTTTTGTTTAATTAAAAAAACCAGCTCTTTAATTCACTTTAACTATTATTTAAAATTTTTATTTTTGTTTAATTAAAAAAACCAGCTCTTTAATTCACTTTAACTATTATTTAAAATTTTTATTTTTGTTTAATTAAAAAAACCAGCTCTTTAATTCACTTTAACTATTATTTAAAATATTTATTTTTGTTTAATTATAAAAACCAGCTCTTTAATTCACTTTAACTATTATTTAAAATTTTTATTTTTGTTTAATTAAAAAAACCAGCTCTTTAATTCACTTTAACTATTATTTAAAATTTTTATTTTTGTTTAATTAAAAAAACCAGCTCTTTAATTCACTTTAACTATTATTTAAAATTTTTATTTTTGTTTAATTAAAAAAACCAGCTCTTTAATTCACTTTAACTATTATTTAAAATATTTATTTTTGTTTAATTATAAAAACCAGCTCTTTAATTCACTTTAACTATTATTTAAAATTTTTATTTTTGTTTAATTAAAAAAACCAGCTCTTTAATTCACTTTAACTATTATTTAAAATTTTTATTTTTGTTTAATTAAAAAAACCAGCTCTTTAATTCACTTTAACTATTATTTAAAATATTTATTTTTGTTTAATTATAAAAACCAGCTCTTTAATTCACTTTAACTATTATTTAAAATTTTTATTTTTGTTTAATTAAAAAAACCAGCTCTTTAATTCACTTTAACTATTATTTAAAATTTTTATTTTTGTTTAATTAAAAAAACCAGCTCTTTAATTCACTTTAACTATTATTTAAAATTTTTATTTTTGTTTAATTAAAAAAACCAGCTCTTTAATTCACTTTAACTATTATTTAAAATTTTTATTTTTGTTTAATTAAAAAAACCAGCTCTTTAATTCACTTTAACTATTATTTAAAATATTTATTTTTGTTTAATTAAAAAAACCAGCTCTTTAATTCACTTTAACTATTATTTAAAATTTTTATTTTTGTTTAATTAAAAAAACCAGCTCTTTAATTCACTTTAACTATTATTTAAAATTTTTATTTTTGTTTAATTAAAAAAACCAGCTCTTTAATTCACTTTAACTATTATTTAAAATTTTTATTTTTGTTTAATTAAAAAAACCAGCTCTTTAATTCACTTTAACTATTATTTAAAATATTTATTTTTGTTTAATTATAAAAACCAGCTCTTTAATTCACTTTAACTATTATTTAAAATTTTTATTTTTGTTTAATTATAAAAACCAGCTCTTTAATTCACTTTAACTATTATTTAAAATTTTTATTTTTGTTTAATTAAAAAAACCAGCTCTTTAATTCACTTTAACTATTATTTAAAATTTTTATTTTTGTTTAATTAAAAAAACCAGCTCTTTAATTCACTTTAACTATTATTTAAAATATTTATTTTTGTTTAATTATAAAAACCAGCTCTTTAATTCACTTTAACTATTATTTAAAATTTTTATTTTTGTTTAATTAAAAAAACCAGCTCTTTAATTCACTTTAACTATTATTTAAAATTTTTATTTTTGTTTAATTAAAAAAACCAGCTCTTTAATTCACTTTAACTATTATTTAAAATATTTATTTTTGTTTAATTATAAAAACCAGCTCTTTAATTCACTTTAACTATTATTTAAAATATTTATTTTTGTTTAATTAAAAAAACCAGCTCTTTAATTCACTTTAACTATTATTTAAAATTTTTATTTTTGTTTAATTAAAAAAACCAGCTCTTTAATTCACTTTAACTATTATTTAAAATTTTTATTTTTGTTTAATTAAAAAAACCAGCTCTTTAATTCACTTTAACTATTATTTAAAATATTTATTTTTGTTTAATTATAAAAACCAGCTCTTTAATTCACTTTAACTATTATTTAAAATTTTTATTTTTGTTTAATTAAAAAAACCAGCTCTTTAATTCACTTTAACTATTATTTAAAATTTTTATTTTTGTTTAATTAAAAAAACCAGCTCTTTAATTCACTTTAACTATTATTTAAAATTTTTATTTTTGTTTAATTAAAAAAACCAGCTCTTTAATTCACTTTAACTATTATTTAAAATATTTATTTTTGTTTAATTATAAAAACCAGCTCTTTAATTCACTTTAACTATTATTTAAAATTTTTATTTTTGTTTAATTAAAAAAACCAGCTCTTTAATTCACTTTAACTATTATTTAAAATTTTTATTTTTGTTTAATTAAAAAAACCAGCTCTTTAATTCACTTTAACTATTATTTAAAATATTTATTTTTGTTTAATTATAAAAACCAGCTCTTTAATTCACTTTAACTATTATTTAAAATTTTTATTTTTGTTTAATTAAAAAAACCAGCTCTTTAATTCACTTTAACTATTATTTAAAATATTTATTTTTGTTTAATTATAAAAACCAGCTCTTTAATTCACTTTAACTATTATTTAAAATATTTATTTTTGTTTAATTAAAAAAACCAGCTCTTTAATTCACTTTAACTATTATTTAAAATATTTATTTTTGTTTAATTATAAAAACCAGCTCTTTAATTCACTTTAACTATTATTTAAAATTTTTATTTTTGTTTAATTAAAAAAACCAGCTCTTTAATTCACTTTAACTATTATTTAAAATTTTTATTTTTGTTTAATTAAAAAAACCAGCTCTTTAATTCACTTTAACTATTATTTAAAATATTTATTTTTGTTTAATTATAAAAACCAGCTCTTTAATTCACTTTAACTATTATTTAAAATATTTATTTTTGTTTAATTAAAAAAACCAGCTCTTTAATTCACTTTAACTATTATTTAAAATATTTATTTTTGTTTAATTATAAAAACCAGCTCTTTAATTCACTTTAACTATTATTTAAAATATTTATTTTTGTTTAATTAAAAAAACCAGCTCTTTAATTCACTTTAACTATTATTTAAAATTTTTATTTTTGTTTAATTAAAAAAACCAGCTCTTTAATTCACTTTAACTATTATTTAAAATTTTTATTTTTGTTTAATTAAAAAAACCAGCTCTTTAATTCACTTTAACTATTATTTAAAATTTTTATTTTTGTTTAATTATAAAAACCAGCTCTTTAATTCACTTTAACTATTATTTAAAATATTTATTTTTGTTTAATTATAAAAACCAGCTCTTTAATTCACTTTAACAATAATTTTAAATTTTTATTTTTGTTTAATTAAAAAAACCAGCTCTTTAATTCACTTTAACTATTATTTAAAATATTTATTTTTGTTTAATTAAAAAAACCAGCTCTTTAATTCACTTTAACTATTATTTAAAATTTTTATTTTTGTTTAATTAAAAAAACCAGCTCTTTAATTCACTTTAACTATTATTTAAAATTTTTATTTTTGTTTAATTAAAAAAACCAGCTCTTTAATTCACTTTAACTATTATTTAAAATATTTATTTTTGTTTAATTATAAAAACCAGCTCTTTAATTCACTTTAACTATTATTTAAAATATTTATTTTTGTTTAATTAAAAAAAACCAGCTCTTTAATTCACTTTAACTATTATTTAAAATTTTTATTTTTGTTTAATTAAAAAAACCAGCTCTTTAATTCACTTTAACTATTATTTAAAATTTTTATTTTTGTTTAATTATAAAAACCAGCTCTTTAATTCACTTTAACTATTATTTAAAATATTTATTTTTGTTTAATTATAAAAACCAGCTCTTTAATTCACTTTAACAATAATTTTAAATTTTTATTTTTGTTTAATTAAAAAAACCAGCTCTTTAATTCACTTTAACACCTATTGATAATAAATATCAACACTAAAATAATAGTTCTTTCTGTATGCGTGCACATTTCATCAACAACCATATTTTAATTCAAATCTAAAAATCTATTATATTTTCAATTTTAATTTAAAGCAATGTTATTTCTATGGGAAATTTTAAATGATTATTAAGCTCAGGTAGGTTTAAGGGACAGGTAGGCAGGTGCTGTGTAATAACATATTGCTATATTGTATGAGTGAGGTTACCGTGAGGTTAGTTAACTGTGGTAATTTTTTGTAAAATTTTCTCAAATACAAAAATTTTCAATTTTTATTGAAAGCAATGTTATTTCTATGGGAAAATTTAAATGCTTATTGAGCCCAGGTAGGATTTAGGGACAGGTAGACAGATGTTGTATTACTTAATTTTGCTATATTGTATGAGTCACAGGGCACCGGGAGGTTAGCTATTTTTTCTAAATTTTTTTCAAATGCAAATTTTTTCGTAAAAATGATTAAATTTTTATTTTTATTAAAATTATTTAAATATATATAAAAAAAACTAAAATTTCTCAAAAGTTTAGACGAAATAATGTTCAGTAGTTTTGTTACATTAGGTTAAGTAATAGTTGTATAGATAAATCAAGTCTCATTCAAATTACTTATGATGAATATTTTAAAATTAGTAAAAGAATTGCACGGCTATACATGTTGCGCGGGTTAATCTAGTTAATATTAATATATTTTTTATATAAAAAATTACTTTAAATTACTGTTTAAATATAAAACTAAATAGTTAAATAATAATATATTTAAATAGCATTTTAAATATTGTATTTATTATGTATTAAAAACTTATTATAAAACTTTTATAACAGAATAATAAAATTTATATTAAATTAATTGCAAATTATTTATTATTTATTCTGTTATTATTATATAATCATAAATACAATATAGAAATATAACTAGAATTTTCAATAATAATAACAAAATATCTATTTTAAAAAAAAGTTTTTTATTTTGTTAATTCATTATAAAATGTTGGCAACAATTCATAATTATTTGTATAAATAAATAGATTAACAAATTTGTTAACAATCTTAATACTGGCCAACAATAGCCTATCGGGTGTCGTACCGCTGACTAGTTTACAATTGCCGACAGTATTATCGATGATAAACGGTATTAACCATCGATTGTGTGCTAAAAATCTGTCGATTGAATCAAACTGTTGGACACATATTACGGTTTGCATTGAATCGTCACTTTTGAGTACCGATTGACACAATTGATCAAATAGTTCAGTGTTTTGCAAATCAATTGGCAGTAATAAGTCTTTCAACGATACGGTATATCTGTAGAAGTGATCGCATCGATAGTTAGTACCCCTGAAGTCATTGAAAACTGCCGATACTGTCAACTCTAGAGGTTTTTTGACCAATGAATGCAATTTCAGACAAACTAGTTGTTTGTCGTTTGATTTCAATACAGGTATTGCCTGTTCGTGGACTACGGTATCATCTGATGAAACAAACGACAGTATTAGGCCATAGATTCGCTGAAATTGTTGTCTGTATTCTTCATTGATGTTCAGTTCAAACATAATTGTCAGACAATAAGGTTTTTCATTTAGTTTTTGTTTCTTTCGTGTAGTAGTAGTAGTAGTAGTAGTCGTCGTCTCGTTATTATTATCGGTAACTCTGGTCAAACTGAACGGTATATTTGCCGACAAATTTTCCACAATATCTTCTTCGCCAGTGTTTGACTGGTCGTCACTGTTTGTAAAAACCTTTTTGATACGTATGTCGTCGTCCAATGTATTTAAGGCCAGTATATAGATCTGAGCTAAACTTGTTATCGATAAATCATTTTTCCGATCATTCATTAGCCACTGTAGTATAATAACTAACAATTGCTTAACTGATCCGCTAATCGGCTGATTATACAGACAGGCTGTACAACAATCAATGGTACGACCGCTGGTCTCTGTTGGCCATCGTTTTGAATAACTATTGATTAATTGTAGTAATATTTCTAATTGTTTTTCATTTAGTTCAAGATCTTTGTGTTTGAATATCCAATCGAAAGCTGACATAAAGTGCATGTATTCGGTAACCGATTTGAAACCGTCAGCTAAGGGTATGTTAGATAAGTTAGCAATCAGTTTATGTACGGTTCCTTTGGCCAGATCTCTATAGACATCGAACAGTACTAACGATCGTCTTATATGAGGATCGGGTAGTTTGAATATGACTGAAATCAGTACATCCTGTATATCCGGGGTAATGTCCGGCCGTTTAGCTAACATATGATCTATGGTCCGGTAAAATGAATTACTAGCCCTAAAATTGCCGGTCAGACTACGCTTAATCAATGGCTTCAAACAGACCAACAAATTTTGATTATCCATTCCCTGAGTTTCGATCAGTACCGCTAACTTCTTTTCCTGACTGTCCGGACCATCGAAACCGGTTATCTCTAGATTAGACCAATCAATCGATTGCAGGTTCAGTTTAGATACTATACTGCGTGTATAGTCAAGGATTAGTAGCCGATGGGCTATCGATAGCGATGGATGTGTGGCCACTATAAACAACTGTCTGATCAGTAGCTGTTCTTCAGTAGTCGAGAACAGTTCCAAACCGAACGACTGGAACAACTTGAGTGACAAATGAAAGCCGTGTACTTCAGTGCTGACTATTAATTGTGTTAAATATGGTTTGAAAATCATTGGCGACAATAATTGGTGATAGTTTTGTGCCTCAATTGTATCATAGATTAGACTAAGTGTATGATATAAATCAATGGATTTCATTGTCGGCAAACATTGTATGATATGCTGGATGTCATCGTTTGTCATACATGTGCTGCTCTTCATTAGCGAACTCATTATCAGTGTCTGATGTCTTCTCAATTGTCTTGAATTGTATGCCTCATAGAGTAATGCCTTTTTTAAAAAAAAAGTAAAATATAATAAATTAAAAATAAAATTAGTATTTAAATTTAGAGAGCAATAATGTCTTAATACAGTATATCAATATATATAATAATGCAATTATGTTAATATACAGTATATATATATATATATATATATATATATATATATATATATATTAAATGACATTTAATATAATGAATATTTAGAGAAAACTCATAAAAAAATATGTAAAAATAGTAACCAACAAAATAATATATATATATATATATATACAGTATATTAACTTTAAACTAATTTATATATTATATTATATATATATACTGTATTTTTCTCCCAATTTATTAATTGAGTGAAAGATATCACTTACAGGTGTTGTGCTCCCGATCTCTCTCAAGCATTCAGCCGATGACAAACCAATTAACGATATTTGAGATGTTTCTGCATTTTTAATTAATATCTCAATAAAACTATCAAATAATCGTTTTAGAGACCAATTGCCGTCTGACTATAATTTAAATTGTTTTTTTTATATTTTTAAATGACAAAACAAAACAAAATTACAATTTAATCATAATTAGCGTAAAAAAACAGACACATAAGTATAATGAAAATTATTATTTAAAAAAAACATTTTTCTATTATTATTATTACTATTATTATTTTTTTGTTTAAATTGTTTGTTGGGTTAATGATAAAACCGTTTGTCTAGCTTTTAGTACTGATATAATGGTTTATGTAGTAATACTTATACCGTTTATTTTTTTTTAAATTATAAGCATTTTAAAAATTAGCTAAATTTAAGTACTTTTTTTAAAATTATAAAAATAATAATAATAAGCTTATATGTACTGTGATATGGATATAATAACTAACTAACTAACAACTACTACTACATTACATTAGAAAATTAAATACATATTTTTTTAATAAAAATAACTACAAGTTTTTTGTATGCAATTATAAATCATTAGATTCATAGACAACAATTTTTTTTAAAAATAATATATTTATATTAAAATAAAATTTTTAACAAAAACAAAAAATTGTTTTTAACTAGTATTTCTATATTGATATATACAGGGTCCGGCATAAGTTACGCAACAAACTAAACAGCTATAACTTTTTTATTATAATAGCTATATATATAATTTTTAAAATAATATTTATAGTATATAGTCTAGTTTTTTATGAAATAAAATTTTATTTTATTATTAAAGTCAAAAAATATCGGCGCTAAATTATGCAAAATAAACAATATTATTTAAACGTCTTATAAAAATAAAATAAAAAATTTGAATAATTAAAGACAAATTAAAGCAAAATTTATAAATTATAAAAGTTTTTAAAAATAAAAAATATTTAATTAGAAATGGGAATTTTAAATATTAAAAAATTTAATTTTTGACTTTAAAAATGTTTTTTGTTTACCACATTACAAAATATTCAAATTTAAATCAAATAAGATTTTTAAAAATAATTTTTTTTATAAATTTAAGGTCATTTTCTAAAAAAAAATAAAAAAAATAAATTAATTTTTTTTCAACATAGGCAATATCCTGTAAGTTAAAATAAGCATATAATTTTTGTTTAATTGTAAAATTTGATGAATTTTGTTAAAACACATTAAAAATTTTAATTTTTGGTAATATTGGTCATTCCTTATAATAAGCATTTTTAATAAAATTGATTTTTCGTCAATTGTTTTATTTTTTAGATTTTTAAAAAAGCTCTCAAACAAAACTAGATTATATGAGAAAAATTTGTTGTAATGTTATATATTTGTAACTTGTGTAGTTTTTTAGATATAAATTTTTCTAAACTTGCGTAACTTATGCCGGACGGTGTATATATATATATATATAAAGATTGACATATGATTTAATTAGTTAAATTGGATAAAAATTAAAAATTAAAATAGTGGAGGAAAAATACACACTAATAAGCAATTAGTAGTAATAATGCTAAACAAATTAAAATAAAAATAAAAACTAATTTTATTTAGCAAAACAAAAAATAAATAAATAAAATAAAAATCAGTTTTTTTAAGTATAATTATACTAATACTACTAATAATATAATAATTTATACCATTTGTGAGTGATATGTAATTATAACAGTTGTGGTAATCAAATATTTTTGTCGGATTGAATCACTTCTCGTGGATGTCTGATATATGTTAAGCAATGAACCGGCCGTTTGCTCCACTCTATCGTATCAATAGATAAAATATATTATAATATAATTATATTTAAAATAAAATAAAATAAAATTAATTAATTCATATCCATTAGTTGATTAATAATAATCATAATTAAATAAATTAATTAAATATATTATTTTTTTTAATAATTAAAAACATTTAACAACAATGTTTAATAAAAAAAATACTAATATATTTTATTTTATTTATTAATATATAAATAATAATCAAAAGCAATTATACATTCATTAATAAAAATATTTTTTTTTTATTTTTATTTAGTTGACATTGAAATTATATAAAATAGTTTTATTATTATTATTATTATAAATCAACAATATATGACATCCGTTAAAATTTTTTAAATAATTATATAAGGCATTTAAAAAAAATCATAATAATAATAATAAATAATATTAATAATGCTAACCATAATCATAATAATAAATAAATAAATAAAATATGCGACAAATTAATTATCAAAAATAAGATGATTGTGTTTATTGGAGTGAAAATTAATGGGGAATATACTGTATATATATATATATATACTATATGTATGCATAAAAAAACATAATTTACTAGTTAGTGATTATTAAAACATTTATTTCCTAATTATCCAATTATTTTAATATTGGCTTATATTTATGACCCAAAACTTTATTTTTCATTATTATTATTATTATTAGTATTAGTATTTGTAGACATTCAATGAACTCTAATGTGTAAAACAATTTATTTTGATAAAATAATATATTAATATACCTATAAAACATATATATTGAAACAATTTTTATAGTAATAAATTAGATCATCCCCGTCAATTTTTTCTCTCTAAATTTAATAACAAAATTATATATACAAAATATGTGAAAATATATTTATTAAATGATAATAACTTATTGCAAACTAATATACTGTATATATATATATAACATTCATATCTTTATATATACAGTATATAAATATTATTAAACATTAAAAAATTTTATCAACAAAACATAAAAATAATATATATTAGTAAAAATTATTATCATTAACAAAAAAATATTGAAATTGATATATAAATATAATGCCAGTAATAGTGTGTGTGTGTGTGTGTGTGTGTGTGTGTGTGAAAACATATTAAACCAAACTATTTGTAGCCAATATTTTTATATTTTATTTTATTTTTGTAATCCCGGATTTAAATTATTTTTATATATATTTAAAAAGCACTAAATTAAATAGTAATTCAAAAAAAATAAAATAAAATAAATAATTTTAATAAATATTTTAACTATCACTAAATAATATATATATTTACTAAAACATCATTTTGAGTCATCCATCAGTTTTAGTCTTTATTTTTCTAAACAAATTCATTATATCTTATATATACAGTATATATATATATTAATATATATATAGTATATTAATATTAGGGGAAAAAATATTAAATGATAAAAGTAGTACAAAAAATATTACTTATATTAGATATAAGTATTAATATATAATATATATATATATATATACTGTATATTCATATAAGGTATATATCGATTGAGGTCAGACATGTTTAAGTGGTTGAACACAAAAATTATTACAATTATCAATATATTAACAAAATATTAATTTTTAAAGAAAAAAATTATTAATAAAACATCGCAAACAACAAAATATTATTTCTTTATTTTTTTGGGGTTAAAAAAAGTAAAATAATTTTATATATTTTTCCACTAATTTTGTTGTTGTATTTAAACAAATGTTTCGATAACACTATTAATTGTAGTCTTTTTTTTATTATTATTTAAATATATATTTTCTCTACAATTTGGCAATCAATGAAACGCTTGAATTGTATGCAAAGAAAGAGAGAAAATAGAGAGAGAAAAAAAAGTAACATTTCTTTCAATGGGTTCAAACAGTTTTTCTTCAAAAAAAAAATAAATAAAAAAATATTTTGACCTCAAATTTTAAAAATATTTAAAAATAAAATATTTACCAAACAATTACCTATCACACATAGTTTAAAGCAACAACAAAAAATTCAATGCACACAATATACAAGTTTTCTATATCATATAATATGATAAAATAATAATAATAATAATTGAAAGCATCAATTATTTATATCCCTCTTTAAAAACCTCTTTTATATATGTTTGGTATATATATATATATATATATAAATCCAAAAAAAATCTATAGTATTAACCATACATTTGTTATCAGTTTCAAAATACTGGTTATATTTACCCAATAATAATGATAATAATATTTTTAAAATAATTTATAATAATTTATGGTCCCATGAATGTCATTATTAATTTAACCATAATATACACATTATACTGTATATATATATACTGTATAGTATATAATATAATATATATATATATAGTTATTTTAGATAAATATAATAAATAAATTTATCGCCCGATATGTTAACAATTTATTACTGTTACAGTTATTAGTGAAATGACATTTTTTTTGTTAATATTCAGTTAGTATTTAATAATAGGCTAATAAAAAAAAATTTGAAATAAAAATTTATGTTTGTATTTATCTAACTAACTAACAAATAATGTATAATAAAGTATAGTATTATATTGATATATATATAATAAAAATCTACTTATAAAATACTTATATGACTTATAAATTTATATATAATAGACCGATCAATACATTTTTGTGGATACCATTTATCTTATATTTTAAAAAACATAAAACTTATATTATATATAAATTTTATGTTTACTGTATAATCATATAATTATGTGAACACGAAATGTAGTTTTTTTTTTAAAGTACAAGTTTGCCATTATTTTACATTTACTTTACATAAAAAATACTATACGGTATATATATATATATACTATATTTATTTATTTATATATTTTAAAATTCAATTATATATTCAACAACACATTCAATAAAACAGTAATAATTTTTTTCTCACACATTAACAATATATTATATATATATATTTGAGGACTCAATTTGATATCCCAATTGAATGCTGTAATAATATTTTAATGTATATTAAAATAACTTTTTTTTTGTGTGTGTGTGTGTGTGTGTGTGTGTATGTTTTGTTGTTTTAAATAATACAGTATTGAATTATTAGTATTGAGAAAAATAAAATTTAAAAAAATTTTTCCCCTAAATATTAAATCACTTACTTATCGATATTATCAAAGTTGGGTACCATTTGTTCAATGCATGACAACAAATGTATAACCAGATTGTCGCCAATACTATCGTTGCACAGATCCTTAAGGACGTCCAGATATAGTTCAGAGTCATTGGTATGACTGCCATCATCACCATTACCACCAACACTAACACCATCGATGATGTCTACTATCGATGATGACCTGTGAATGGATTTACAGATATCTACATATCTATCAAACCAACGATTGCCGCCCAAGACTATAGACCTGGTGTCCGATAACTTATCTTTAGTGTCACTCATTGTTGTCTAATAATAATAATAATAATAATAATAATAATAATAATAATTGTTTCACCAATTTGTTTGTTTAAGTTAATTGTCACCCAACAAAAAAAATAGTCACAAAAAAACAAATTTTTAACAATAGTAATAAAATTTACTTTCAATTTTTTGCGGTCATTATTTTTTTTGAAAACTTTTATTTATTTATTTTTAAACACTAGAAAAAACAAATTAAAAAAAATAGAAATCAATTCAATACAAATAATTTTTAATAATAATTTAAACAAATAAAAAAAAATACACAAAATATTTAGGATAAATGATAATTAATTTTGTTGTTTGTTTGTTTAATTAGTCATAATGTAATTATATATGATATATATTTTTAAATAAAAATATTATCATTTCATATACAAACTGTTTGTTTGATTGTTTTGATAACACATTAATTGAGACAATAATTGTATAGTAATATAGCAATCAATCAATTAATTATAATTAATAGACACACCTATTATTAGTGACATTTAAATGTCTACTAATTAATACTATTATTATTATTAATAGATCTATCATATAATAATAATAATAATAAACAACATTTTTAATTGAATAGTATTTATTAATATATAAAACAATTAATTAATAAAACAAAAATCAATTAACAATTGAAGTGATTGACAGCTGTTTTGTTTGGTTGTCAAACACACTGTGTGTTTGTGTTTGTGTTGTTATTGTTGTTATGTTTTTGTAATCACAAAAAGTACACGTGTTTTGTATGGACAACGACACGTGATTGGCTGAAATCCTATAGTTTTGTTTAGCGACAATTTCCAACCAATCAGATGATAGCATTTTAAATAAAACAATTGGCGCTATAATTATTAACTAATATATTAATTAATTAATTGATTAATTGAAATAATTCATAATAATAATAATAATAATTACTTTTAAAAAAAACTATAATTAAATTATTATTTTTTTGGTCCAAATTATTATTATTTTTTCTCATTTTAATATTTTACATAACAAAACAAAAAATTTATTCACATTTATTTTGACAGCAAATAGTTATATAATAATAATAATATGTATATAAAATAATTATTATTTAAATTAGTTAGTTTTATAATTAAAATATAATGACATAATATTTTTTTAAAAGTAATGATAACATATAATAATAATAATAATATTAATAATAATGAAATGAGACGGACATGAGATACAACATATAAAAACTTTATATAAGTTTTTAAAGAGTATTTATAATAATAATTATAATAATAATAATAATTAGTTTTTCTTAAAAAAATACATGAGATTTTTCTTATTATATATTTTTTTCGCGAAAAAAATATATATATAATAAAACACTGGAGTTATCACCGGAAGTGTCGATAGCTGTTTGATGTTTTCATTTTCATCAACAAAGAAAAAAATCTTTCATTTATTATAAATTTTTTTCTCTTATCTAAAACAAATCAAAAAAATAATAAATCGTCGACAATATCATCAAACATTAGACACACATTACACACACACACACATACAGTACATACACTAACACACAGACACACTGAGAGAAACCCATTAATAATACTAATACTAAAAAAATTATTTTAAATTTTTAATTAATATTTATATAATTATAATTAATTAATTAATTAATGATTTTATAATAATAAAAAAAATTGACTAAAACTTATAGTAAAACTAGTCTCAAGAGATGGCCTTGAGCTCAGTGGTCGTGAGCGCCGCGTTTTCGATGTTACCGATAGTCGGATGGCCAACGGATTCGTCGCGGTGGTGGTCGTCGTCATCGTCATTGTCTAGTCGTTTGTCAATTGTGGCCACTTTAGCGATGGTATTACTAGCCGACAGTGTATTATACATTGAACCGAAACCGTTGAAACCTTGGAAACCAAGGACTTCGGGATTACCCGAATCGTAGTACTCGTCCGATTCGAGACCGGTATACATATTGCTAGTGGGGTTGTCATTATCGTTATGACCGGATCGGTCTTCGCCTCCCGAGTTTACCGAATTGGACTTTTCGTCGTCGGCGGTAAACGTACCGCCACGGATGACCTCAAAATTGCCGCTTCCCATAAGTCCCAGATGTCGGCTCTCGGAAGCAAAATGTGTCCTCTGGTTGGGTCTACGATTGCGTCGATTTGTCACTCGACTACTTCTTTGCCGACCGCCGTGACTTTCTTCCGATGTCTGGTCGGACAATGAATGAAGACCCGAATCGGCTGAATCTAACTTTTCTCGCTTTTTGTTGTTATTATTATTATTGTTGTCGTCTTTTGAATGATCGTTGGTCTCATTTGACGTAAAAATGACGTCCGAATCGTCATTTCTCGGGAATCTCATTCTGGATTTACGGCCCGACCTCTTCAGAAAAGTCATTCGTGTGGGCGTCGGATTGGACTCAGATTCGGGAAAATGGATAAATGATTTGTCACTTAACTGACTTTCGGCAATATGTCGGCGATATCTACCGAAACGTTTTCGGTCGTCGTTTTCGGTGGCATTTCGGTCGCGCAAACGACGGAACAGATTCATCGGATTCAGATAACCAAGAAATCGTCTGAATCTCGACGGTTCTTCGTCTTCTTCGTCTTTGAGCAGATCCGACAGATTGATACCACCTGGCAATTGATTCGGATTCTCTTGGGTTTCCTCTTGAGCTGACGATGACGATGATGACTGTGACGATGCAGCCGCTGTCTGCTGGGGTATCATAGCGTACGGCATTTGGCCCATCGGTACGGACATCGGAGCCATTTGCGAGAAGCCGCCCATCGGATTGTAGGGCATCATCATTGGCATCGATCCGGCGGCGTTGGCAGCGTCAAGACTACTGGCCGACATAACACCATTGCTGGCCGCTGTCTGCTCTTTGCCGCCTCCCATTCCCTGTCCTCCCATCATAGACATTGTCGGCATATAACCGTAACCGCCTGCTGCCGCTGCCGCTGGATATCCACCGTAAGAAAATCCGCCGCCATATGAACCCATTGCTGGCGAAAACCCGGCTACACCGCTAACACCGGGAACATTGGCGTAGACCGGTTGCGGACCACTCATACTGGTGTACATTCCTCCCAGACCGGACATACCGCCCAGACCTGATAGACCGGCTCCAAAACCGGCGGCGTTGGAATTTTGCAACATACCCGGTGTCATACCGTAGATACCCGAAGTGGACATACGAACAATGTCTGACTGTTGCTGTTGTCCATTGAGATCACCAGTTTGTCGTCTTTCGCGTCGTTGCCGAAAACGTCTTAACATATTCAATGGATTTAGTCGACTCAGGAGTGTTCGCCTCGGTTTTGATTCAGATGTTTGTTTTTCTTGTGTTTTTTTAGACTGATCTTGAAATTGTTGCAAATGTTTTTGGGTCATACCTAGTGGCAGCCGTCCATTGTTGATATCGCCCTGAGCTGGATTAGACATGAGCGACATCGGTCTGATTACTGGTAGGCCACCAGTTGGTGTATTCATTAGACTGGGAACGCTGGCAGTACCGGCCGGAATGGTTATATAGCCGACGTGCTTATAGCCGGGCGGTGCCGGCAATTGGCTACCTTCGGGTGCGGGCGAAAAGTTTTGAAGACCAGCTCCAGCTGCTCCGCCTCCCACTGGCTGTAGGGGCTGATTGTTAGCCGCCGCCATTTGGGCGCCAATCTGCGAGTTTACTTGCGATCCTAATTGCGGATTCAATTGCGAGGCCGACCCGAAATTGGCCATTTGTTGCTGTAGATTACTGTTTGCCGAAAATTCCTGCAAATTGGCCAACAGTTCAGCTTGCGATTTCTGAGGTATATTATAACCCAATTGACCCAACAGTGTCTGTATATCTGTCTCGGATGTAGGACCGACTCCTCCTCCGGCACCGCCGGCGGACTGCTGATTGTCCATCAGTGAGTTGCCATTGAGCTCTTGGCCAGTCGATTGGGCGTATTGTTTGAACAATTGTTGGGCCATTTCGGGCGATATAAACTGTTGGTCTTCGTTGAGCATCGGATTCATTGACTGCTGTTTCTGAGCTTTGCTTAGATGATAGTCCTGCGATGGTGTCCTATCGCCGCCGGCAGCAGCTGCGGCCATCGACGGATAATCAGAATCGGTATCAGCGGTAACATCGGTGGGTTCGGTGCCGCCGCCGACGACGGCGGGCGCAAACTCTTCATTCTGGTCGGTGGCCGATGATTTCAGAAATTTTGTCACTTCCGAGTCTGAATTTAGCTGTTTGTAAAAGTTGTTGCGATTGGTGTCCTGAGTGGCCGGCGAGTCAACTGAATAGTCTTCGCTACCGATGGCACCGCCAGTGTTTGGATTCGCATATTTAGTATATCGGGTATTGGGTTGTGTGTCGTACATGTGCTGAATAGTTGACGGCATCGGGTATTGCAACGAGTGGTGATGCTGTTGTTGTTGTTGTTGGAGGTGATGGTGATCGCTATTGACCATCGCTGCCGATTCGGCTTTTCCTATCAATGGCGAAGCTTTGGGCGATTCTGCTGCCGACTGATACGCATTGGCCGACGACGACGACGACGGCTGATATGCATTTGAATAACTGGGCAGTCCGTAGCCCTGAAGCTCGTAGTCAGGGTTGGCATTGTTTGTGTAACCAATTCGTGTGATAACAGGTCCCGGATCTGTTAGCTGTTGCTGCTGTTGTTGTTGTTGGTGGTGTTGGTTATCGCTGGAGACGGCACCCGATAACGATGTCAACAGACCATGTCGTTCGGGTAGTTTGGCTATTAATGGTTTAGCGATTGGAACAAAACCAGAGTTTAATAATTGTGATGAAGAAGAGGAAGAGGAGGAGGAAGAAGAAGAGGAAGAATGAATATTTGGTTGTTGTTGTTGTTGTAGTTGTTGTTGTTGTGATGGTTGTACTGGTGATGATATACCTAACCGTCAAAATATTTTTGATGATTTAGGTGTGGGGTTAGAGGTAGGGGTAGGTGTGGTGTTGGGGGTGATGGGGGTTAAAATAAATAGTTTATTTAATGTTTGTATTTTTATTTTAACAAAAAAAAATAATAATAATATTATCTTTTTATAATATTTTAAGCGCTTTTTTAAATGTTTTTTTTCTAATTTTTTTCTAATAATTTTTTTCGTTGCAATTTATTTGTTAAATAAATAAATAATTTTTTTCTAATTTTGTTTATTATGTATTGAAATAATTGCCTGCAAAGCAATGTCAATGTCTATTGCAATGTAAATATAATAATAATAATAATAATAATAATATATAACTAAAAGAGTGTATAATAGTTGATATATATATATATATATATATATATATATAAATATTATATATATATATTATATATATATATTGTACTATTGATAATGATTTTTTTACTCAACAAAAAAAAATTAACAAAAACTATATATTTTACTTAAATAATAATAAAATTATTATAACTATTATTATTAAGTAATCAATGATTGCAAAAAAATACTAAAATATTTTGTGTGTGTATGTGTTGGCATTAATAAAAAATATATGTTAAATATACTATATGTATGTATATATTGTCAAAAAAATCCATATATAATAATAATAATAAGAGAGAGATAATTATAAATCGTTTGCAATAATAATAATAATATTATTGTGTGAGAGAAGACATCGACTTATTTAATCATTGAAGCAATTCATACATTCATTCAAATGTGATATTCAAAAATCGTTTTGTTTAATATTTGAAACATTTTTATTGCATATACAATATATCTATATATATATAGTTTATAAACCATTATTACCTAATATATATATATATATACATATACATAAGCCCTATAACCGCTATGCTAACAATCCATGTATAAGTAGAGCTCAGTTTAGTAGTTAGTAGTAGTAGTAGTAGTAGTAATGCAAAAAAAAGTCACACAAAGTTAATTCTGGGGCCTAAAGATAGAGCAAACGCTTTTTACATATTATTTTTGTTTATATTATTATTATTATTATGTATGAGTTTTCCTGTGCTACCAGTTCTAGCAATACGTTAGAGAGAGAGAGAGAGAGAGAGAGAGAGAGAGAGAGAGAGAGAGAGAGAGAGAGCATTACTACATTTTAACGAGAATTTCAATGTCAATCAGTTCACAGGGTTTGGTGGTCCGTAAAAATTAATGCATACTTTACATACATAAACTGTATGTACTGTATATATATATATATATATATATATATATATATATATATATATACAGTATATATATATATATACAGTATATATATAGTGTTTTAGCCCGTTATGTTAAAAAACAGTTATATAATAATAATTTATAGATTTATGTGGGTCGCGACGCGCTTGTTAAATACATATATTATTGCTATTACCAATATTATATATATATATATATATATATATATATATATATATATATATATACTGTATATATATATATATATATTATAAGACAGGTTAATCATTGTCAGCAGCAATGACTTATTATTGCCTTCAAATAATAATAATATTAAAAAAAATTAAAAATCTATTGATTTAAATAAATAGTGTGATTCATCCAAATGAATGAATGCCTTTTTACACGACTCAATGATAACTAATTTTTCACTGACAATAAATAACACTAATAATAATAATAATAATGAAAAAATTTATATATTCATTGCTTTTTTTTAGTATACTGTATATTGACGACAAAAAAATAAGAGTTTATATACTATATATATATATATACTGTATATTAGTATAGAGCATAAACTGTACATAAACTGTAAGGACCGACTTTTATATATACATATATAATACATACAAATATATATATAAATATATATTAGGTCTGATCGTGTATCGGATTAGGTCATAGACTAATGATTATATATATATAAACTATATCTTCAAAAACGTAATTATAATATTTATATTTAAAAAAAATTGTAATAATGTTTGAGTTTGATTGATGAACTTTAATTAATAAAAATTTGTTTAATGCATTTTAATTATTATTAGTAGTAGTAGTTTTTATGTAATTAATTTATAGACTCATCAATAGATTACTTATTTCTCTCTCTCTCTCTCTCTCTTTCTGTCTCTCTTTCTCCACACATAAACATAATTTAATATATATTTTTTACGTCTAACTAATCGATTATAATAATAATAATTTTAGCAGAAAATAAAACTAGTATATACTGTATAATAATAATAATAATAATAAATTTATAAGCAATTGTTGTGTTTTCATTTTGCAATTCAAGTTTTGTAAGATTTATTATTATATATCTATATATAAATTTATATATATATATATATTATAATTTATAAATATATTTATATTATAATAATAAATTGAAAATTCAAATGGTAACTGAAAAAATTACTAACAAATAAAATAACATAAAAGATTGCTTTTTCTAACAAAAACCTATTGTTGTATAGTTTAGTTAAAAATTTTTTGTTTGTTTGTATGTCTATATTGTTTGAAATTATTAATAAAAAAATTGAAGATTAAATATAAAATAAATTAAATTCATGATTATGTTGATAAATTTTGTTGTTGTTGTTATATGCAATTTAAATATAAATATTATATACATATAGTTTATTTATAGATAATCACTTTTATATTATTATTATTATCAATAATAATAATATTATTATTATTACTATTACTATTTTATTTTCTAAAAATGTAAGGTTAAAAATAGATCATATAATATGATAGTAATATTATAATAATAAATTTTATTACTAATATTTTTTAGTATTATTAGTATTAGTATTTTATTTTATGACACTATAAAAATGTATAAAATAATTTTTTAAAACTCATTATAATTTATATATATATAAATATAATTTAGTAGATATAATATATAAAATACACATTAATAGTAATCTATATTACATTACTTGAACTCTACATATATATATAGTTTGTTTTATATACACAGTATATACTGTATATTCAACAAACACACAGTTAGCTCGCATTACAGTTCAAAACTACTGTATAATTACTGTATGATTGAAAAATTTGATAAAAAAAATTTATTATTATTTATACCAACAAAAATAAACAATAATTATCAGAAATTATTAGAAATTAATGAAAGAATATATATATATTTATATATATACTGTATATGCAATAAAAATTATCACAAAAAAATTGGGAAATATTTTTTTTTACTACTATTATTAGAAATTTTTATAATAAATATATATATTTAAATAAAACAAAGTTTTAACTTACTCTGTGAGTCCAATTTAGATTGAGCTGATCCGGTACATCCAACAATTGTTAAATAATAATTAATATTAAACACTAAAGCAATTGTTGCTAATAATATTGTATTGAGATTCATGATTTATTTATTTTTTTTTTAAAGTGTATTCAAATATATTATTAATATTTAATATAAAAATCAAATTGTTGACCAAAAATTGTCAACTTGGATAGTGTTTAAAATAAAAAAAAATTTGGTTGACTATCAATTATTATTATTACTTATAGATAATATTAATAATAATAATAATAATAATACTAATAGACAGACCATCAATCTATTTGATGTGTCTGTGAGATACCCTTTTTATGGGGAAAAAAGTGAATTATAGACAATATATATATATATATTAATATATATTATTATTATTATTATCGGTGGTCTCTCTCTCTCTATATATATATATAAAACTAACACTTCATATAGACTTCTTTATAGACAAACTTATTATTAACTGATTTTCTTGTTGTTGTCGTTATTGGTTTGTTTGCTTGTTTAATATAAAGCACAGTTAGATAGTTAATCAGTCAGTCAGTCAGTTAGTTAGTTAGTTAGTTATACTGTACTGTATAGTTGAGACATTGAGAGATAGAGAGAGATAGAAAAACTTTTTTTAGACAATACGTTCAACACATCATCACTGACTTACATATGCCATAAAATTAGAAGGTTTGCCACTAACTACATGTGCTCTTAGGAGAGGTCTGGGCTCATCATAAACGGGTTCTACGACTTTAAACTACTTTTTTTTTGGTGTGGATCTCTCTCTCTCTCTCTCTCTCTCTCTCTCTCTCTCTCTCTCTCTCTATGTGTGTGTGTGTGCGAAAAAAAGCTACAAATTTTTGTTTTATGAAAAAAAGGGGAAACACATATTTTTTTGCTACACACACACACATACATATATATACATAAATGCATATATAATAATAATAATAATAATAAAAATATTGTACCTGTAAATGGCATTTCATATTTTTCTCCCCAAATACTTGTGTGTATGCCATACAGTACTACATAACGGTATTTGTTTTATTTTTATTTATGTATTATTTTTTTATTATTATTATTGAATACATTTTCAATTCATGCAATTAATATGTTAAACCTATTATAAAAAAATAAAATTTTTGTTTCCAATTCAATAACCCGCGTCTCTCTCTCTCTCTCTCTCTCTCTCTCTAATAAATATTTTATTATTATTTATTAAAATAAACAAAAAACAACAACAATAAAACTACTAAAATTAGAACCAAAAAAAAATAAATAAATACAAATTAAAAATTATCAATAAAAATAAAATATGTAACCTAGCTCAAAATTATTTTTATTATTATTATTAGTTTCAATAAACATAATAATTATTATTATTATAATTTATGCATGTGTAATACTTTTTATGATTAATTAATTTGTTGAGCATTATTTTCTATGAAAATAATAATAATTAATAATAATAATATATGCCCACCTAATTAAAAAAACCAAATTAATGGTCAATTAACACTTAATATAATTTGTTTTGTGTGTATATAACAAATGTAGACTTTTTTATTATTATTATTTTAGTTTAGTTTAAATGATTAGTTTAATAAAAAAAATAAATAATAATAATGTTAACTAAACTATAATTAATAACTTTAAATTATAGTTAGCAACAAATTAATTTCTTATTATTTAAAAAAAACAATTTTCTGATTGTATTAATAATTTAGTTTTTGTTTGTTTGTTTGCTAACCTGTGAATAGAAAAAATTTCCTTAAAATAAAATAAAATAATTATTATTTTTATCTTCAAAATAAAGTTATGTCAAACATTGCTAATATAACCCCCATTGAGTTTACTATAAATATACATATGTATTATTATGTGTGTTTGAAAAATTTTATTATTATTATTATTATTTAGTTATTCATTTATTTTATCGACAAATCACAGTTATAATTAATTTAAATAAGTGTTATTGAAATTTTTTTTTCATTGCAATAAAAAAATAAATAAATAATTTTATTTTTCAAATTTCAATATATATTATCAACACATTTCAGTAGTAACTGTTACCGGCTTAACATAAATACATTTATATATATATATATATTAATATATATTCATTGAATACTATATTATTATTATTATTATTAATGTTTATATTTTAATTAAAATTTATTTATTTATTTTGTATGCAACATTGTTATTATGGGGGTATTTTTGTTTATATAAATAATTTTTTTTGAAAATATTTTATTTTTACCATTTGATGGGCTTAAGAAAAAATTTATTTTTGAAAATTATTTTTAAAAAATTATTTTGTATTGTAGATAAAAATATTATTTTGTTGTTATATCTGTGTGTATGTGTGTGTGTATTCAAAAATAATAAACCCGTAAATATATAGGTAAGAAAAAAACTAACAAACAGGACCTAACTTTTTGGTTATTATTATTATTATTTATTTTTTTTATATTTTGGTTTAAATATTATTTTCTAATGAAAATTATCATTATTGACAACTTTACACAAATAATACAATCACTCCTATATATTGTATATATTATATATACTGTATATACTATTAATATATTTAGTATATATATATATATATATATATATGTTTTACAATTATATGTAAAATATATTCACTAATATATATATATAGCTTATTAGCATTATTTTAAATGATGACATAAATCATAAAATGAATTTTAATAATTATGAGTTTATTATTCATTTATTTTTTTTTGTTAACTTACTGTTTGTTGTATTAGTTTTTAGTTTTAGTTATTGTTTCATAATATACTGTATATTTTCTGTATTATATAATATATTATGCATAGATAAATACACAGTAATTTTATTATTATTGTTTTACTAAAAATAACACTTTTTACATATCATTAAATAATTAAAATACTGTTTTCTCGATATTTATTTTTTGATTTATTTTTATTATTATTTAGTATAGATTGTTGTTTTCTTTTTTTTAAATAATAAAAAAGTTTTGTAATTATAATAAGTAATGAATAATAATACTAATACTAATAGTAATGTTTTTAAAATAAGCATTTAAATTAATAAAAATAAATTAAAATTAGGTTTTATATATCATAATTGTTTTTTTTGAGTTGTCATAACTCATTATGAAAACTTAAAAAAGCATTATATTGTAAAACATTGAAACTATTGATAAAAATTTCTAAATAAATCATTTATTTAATAAAAACAAAATTAATATATTATTTTAAAAGTAATATTTGATGAAACTATTATTGTATATTATTTTTCAGTAATATTATTTTAATAACTTTATTAAAAAAAATTAATGTAATTTAATTAATTTAATAAAATAATAATTAAATAATTTATTTATTTGTTATGTTTACTAATACTATTATTTTTACTAATATAAAATATTATAAAATAATAATAATATATTTATATATGTAAGTATTTTAATGTACTTTTATGATAGTAAATAAATTTTATTGCATAACTAAAAATAAATTATTTTTTGTGCTTAAAATTTAATAAAACAATAATAAAAATTGAATTGTATTTAAATTTAATGAACAAATTTATTATATAGAATAAAATAAAATAATTTTATTTTTCTAGAAAAAAAAGATTAAACTATTTTTAACGTTTCATTTATTATTATTATTATTATTATTATAATAAAACAAACGTTTCAATTTCAACAAATCGATAATTTATATGACTATTATAATTATTATTGAATAAATTTTTATTAATAATCAATAAATGTTTTGTGCCAATTGATGTTATTTTAAGTAAAAAAAAAT